CAGGGTCTCCCTGTAGCCCCAGCTGGCCTGGAACTCACTTTGTAGACCAGACTGGCCTTGAACTCACAGAGATCTGCCTGCCTCTGCCTCCCAAGTGTGCCGCCACACTCGGACCATAAGCCCTTTTAAACATGATATCAAAACATTGATAAATTTGACTTTAATCAAGATTGAACTTTGGATTTGGAAGAACAAAATATCTTAATGAAAAGACAAGCCACTAACCCATAGAAAATACTTTTAAAAATTACAAGCCTGGTAATTAACATGTGTCCAGAATATATTACATTAAAAACTCTATAAAAAAGACAAATTGAAATGGAAAAAAGATTCAGAGTAAACATTTCACTAAAGAAGAGGAGCAAATGGCAATTAAGCACATTAAAACAAGTTCAACACCATTAATTATCAGGGAAATCCAAGTTGCAACTCCAGTGATACCACTTCACTTTCAGTAGAATGCTAAGTAGACACCACCAAGGACAAGGATGTGGAGAAAACGGACCCATCACACATTGCCACAGGCATGATAGATAAGATGGTAGACTTTTTTGGAAAACAGCTTGCCAGATTGTAAATTCCTAAACATAAGTTTACCATAAGATAGTTTCATGCACAAAAATCTATTCAAGAGAAACAAAAACACAGGTTCCAAAAGAAAATAATAAAGTTAAATAAGAAATAGATGCAGGGGTGCTGGGCAAGGTGGTGTCTACCTTTAATCCCAGCACTCAGGAGGAGGCAGGTGAATCTCTGTGAGATTGGGGCGAGCCTGATCTACATAGTGAGTTCCACACCAGCTGGGCTACCGGGAGACCCTGTCTCAAAAAACCCAAGAAGGAGAAGGGGATGAGGAGGAAGGGAGAAGGGGGAAGATGAGATAATCGGGGAGCTGGAGGGATAGCAGCATTGTTAGAGCATTGACTGCTTTTGCAGAGAACCTGGGCTAGGTTCCCATTGCCCTCTTCTGGCTTCTGAGGTGCACTTACATACATGCAGACAAAGCACTCATATAAGTTGTGTGTGTGTGTGTGTGTGTGTGTGTGTGTGTGTGTCTGTGTGCATGCGCTGGTCTTGAACTCCCAGAGATCTGCCTGCCTCTGTCTCCCAAATGCTGGGATTAAGGCCGTGCACCACCACACCCGACCAAAAAAATGTTTTTAAAAAGGAAGTAGTTAGGTAATGTATGAATTACTTTTCCTATTGCTATGACAAAACACCTGACAAAGCAACTTAAAGAAGGGTTTAGTCTGAATCGTATTTCAGGGTATAGTTCATGGCAGGGAAGGTGCGGCTGAAATGTGAGGCAGCTGGTTCAAGGCTGGGTCAGAGGCTGGTCACAGAGGGATTAGGTCCTAGATCAGTGTGGTTCTGGAGAAGGACAGACTCAGAATTGGGTCAGGGCAGGTCGGCAGGCAGAGTCTAGGAAAAGCTGGGCTCCAGTCTCAGAGAGAGGTCAAGGATTATCCCAGCAGGGGTCAGGCACAGATCAGAACGGGGTCAGGTTGGGGTCAGGTTCAGGTCCACTTCCCCACAGGTCCCGGAGACTGGTATGGGTACGAGGGCGGTGAGGACCCGAGGTGGGCAGGGCCCCTTGCTCTGGCTACTGCTGTTTCTGCTGCCCCAGAGCCCTAGGGCAGGCACTGCCCTGCGGCCTGGTGTCTTCAGGCCCTCGAAGGCTCCTGGGGTGGCACCAGGGAGCTGCGGGCCACAACAGGCCTGGGAGTCAATGACCAGCAGTCACCAGGACCCTGCAAGGAGAGAATAAGGTCCTTTTGAAAGCCAGTGGGTGGGTAGGGGTTGGGGGGGCTCATAGTCTAGGTCCCGAACTGGAAGTGGTGTTCACCTTTTGCTTTCCCTTGGAACCAGGTGGTCCCACAGAAGACACAAACTGAGGAGGGTGAATCAGTTTTCACCTCTGGCAGAATCTACACCTCAAATCCTAGTGTGGGGCCATGGGATCTGACAGGTGTCCAAGGCTATCCCAGGGGTGGCAGTAGAGAGTGTGGGATTGTTGAGGGTCTCACCTCAGTCCTTCCCTGAGGCATGGGGAGCCCAGGTCTGGGACAAGGTACAGCCTGCCAAGATCTGGGCCCAGGGATCCTCTCCCAGATGAGTCTTAGAACTAAAGTTACCTTCCTCTGCCCCACCTGGTCTCTTTTTAGAAATGGAGAGCAATGTGCCTCAGGTCACTCAGCACCATAGAGTCTTTGCCAGTGGTTCTCTCTCCCTGGGATACCCAGGCAAAGTGAAGGGACACAGCCACTTACAAGCCATAACTTTGAGCAAGAACCATTAGTAACCTGTGAGACTTCCAGTTTGTTGATCTGCAAAATGGACACAGAGGTGTGTTAGTGGAGGGAATGAAGTCACAGGGTCTCTCTTCCAACAGCTCATCTGCCAGGCTTTGGCAGGACCACTTAAGGATGGCCTACTATGGCCATCCTTTTACCCCACCCCATCTCCAGAGAATCGTGAGCTCTTATTCCCTCAGAGATGTTGGCTGATCTTGGTCATCTTGTCCCTGGTGGAGGCCAGTGAAGAAAGAGGCTAGGTCACCTGTTTTCCAATCTGAGATGGAAGAGGAGGCTCCTTGGAGTGTCATTCTGCCCCTCAGGGGCTTTGTCTCTAATAGATTGCATGAGGGTGTCTTCACAGTGTGCAGAAAGCCCAAGATGGTTGGGAAGGTATTTGGTGGTCAAGACACATTGGCTGGCCAGTGGCCATGGCAAGCCAGCCTGCAGTACCATGGCAGGCACCTCTGTGGAGCTGACCTCATCGACTCCCACTGGCTGGTTTCCACAGCCCACTGCTTCCAAAAGTGAGTTTGTCTTCCCCGGGGCCTCCAGAGAGAGGCTGGGTAGGAAGATGCAAAGGTGAAATGAGCAAGGGGTGGGCCCCTAGCATGTCTTTCCCCTCTGAGGCAGTTTGCTGCCACCAAAGATGTGTGTCTTTCCTTGACCCCCAGTCTCCTCCACCTGGACTATCCCCATGTGCCACTTAGGACATGACCTACCCAGATCTTCAGCTTTTGTTCTCAGCCCCAGCAGGGATCTCCATGCTTCCCCTCTGTGCCTGCCCACGGACACCCAGGTTCCCCAAGAGGACTGGCTGTCTTTTGGCCACCTTGCAGGCCTCTGCTTAGTTCACTCACCCCACTCTCCTGTGAGCCAACAATAGGCAGAGATAATAATGTGCCAGATAATAGGCAAAGATCACATATGGCCAGCAGCCAGGTGATTTCTCATCACTTTTGTAAAACTGAGTTCTTGGAGAAGTTGTGGTCACTCCCATATCATATCCCAGGGTGTATGGATGGGAAATGTGGGGCTTCTCACCTAGGAGAATGATGTGGACAGTCAGAAGTCTAGCATCTCTGAGCTAATTCAGATCAGGGCCTAACTTCTGATCAGACATGGAGGGACTCGGAGGGAATGAGGGAAACACAATCCAAGTTGGGGAGTTGCATCATGGAGGCTTATTGACTTTGAGACTTCAGCTTAATCCTGTTGACAGCTATTCAGTGCTGCATTCACCTGAGATCCTCTATGGCACAGAAGATGGGAGATCACAGGCCAAGCTTTTTATTCTTCCAGAAGGCAAGGCAAAAGGTCCAAGCAGTGTAATGCAAGAGAGAAATCCCAAGGAAGGCAGCTCTGAGGGACAGGGGTCCAGACAGATGCTTCAATATAGGGGTAGCAGAGGAGCTGTGGGGCCTGAAAGAAGAGAGGAACTGGCATGCAGGATGGACGAAGGCCCTCTTGAGGTGGGAGTTGTTGGAACAAAGCTGTTCAGTCTTGTTCAGGAACAAGGAAAGCTTCCCTTCCATGCATTCATGGTGCATTTAACAAGTCTTTTGTGAGAACTTACTACCAGTAGGGAATGAGTCTGTCACAGCATAACTCATCACAGTGAGAACACGTGGAAGAGACCTGTACACCTCATGGCAGTGGGGAGGCAGAGACAGTGAGAGGAAGACAGGCTTTCCAGGACATGCTTCCCATGACCTACCTTCCTTTCACTAAGCCCCACCTCCTAAAGGCACCACTCCCTCTCAATAGCATCACAGGCAAGTGATAACCTTTAGTTGTTGGCCTGGGGAACATTTAAGATTCATACCATGAACCTAGGATTCAACCAGAGCCCTTCTTAGGTAAATTAAAAAGGATTTGATTTGAGAGTCCTTATCAGGGACCCTACCAGTGATGGAATTCTCCGATCCTCCAGTTCTAAGATGTGACGGGAGACTCTACCGGGAGGTTTGAGTAGGATATCCATCAGCCTTCAGAGAGATGACTCCTGACAGAAGGGGAGAGATGAAGCTTCACAGAATCATGGTGTGGTGGAGAGGTTCAGGACACAGCAGGTAGTGGTACCTGAGGTGCAAAAAGGCACTGCTCAGCCCCCCCACTCAGAGACAGTGGTGATGATGGGTCCTTTCCCCTCTAGCAATTCCCAGGCCCTAGAGAACTATCAGGTTCTGTTGGGGAATATCAGCTGTACCAGCAAACCCAGCACACCCAGATGTCTGTGAACCGGATCATCAACCACCCAGAATTTGAGAAGTGTCATCCCTTCAGGAGTGACATTGCAATGCTGCAGCTGCACCTGCCAGTGAACTTCACATCCTATGTGATCTCCGCTTACCTCCCACTCAAAGACACACAGATACCCAACCACACATCCTGTTGGATAACTGGCTGGGCAATGCTCTCTGAGGACAGTAAGGGCAAGAGAAGTGGGACAGGGAGTGGCAGCAGGGAGAGAAGGGAGAAAAGAAGTGCATGAGGAGGAATGTACAAAAAAATCAGCTGGCAAAAAGCCCAGGTTGGTTTTTGAAGCCACTGGATGTTGCTCCCTGTACGTCACCTCCTATGACATAAGGATGGGGCCATTCTAGGTTCCTTCTTCTAGTTCTGAAAGTGTGTGAGCTCTCACTCACAAACTCCCTTGTAACTCAGGTTCTGAAGGTGTAGGAACTGCTGACTTTTGCAATCAGCCGCAGGTAGGGACAAAACCTTGAACACAGGGGCCTTTGGCGGACATTCAAGATCCAAACTATAGGACAGATCATCATCAAATATCTTGGAAGGTGCTTGGGTAAAGTGGAAAGGAAACTATATGTGACTTGTGACCACTGAGCCTGCAATGACCTAGTTAGAAGTATCACAACTTGGGAGTGTTTAACATCTCTCACTTTTATCTGGTCCTTAGCCTATTTCAGTCTTGTCAGGTGAACTGAGTAATGGAGAAAGCTTTTTCGTTTTGTGGGTTATTCGTTTCAGATACTGGGCCTCAAACATGCTAGGAAAAGGCTTACCATTGAGCCACTAAGAGCTCTTTGTTTCGTTATATGGATTGAAAGTAGAGAAATACATGCAGTCATAAACAGAACTATTTATTAAAGAATTCTGACTTGGGGGCTATGTTTGTGGTATAATGTAAATGAAAAAGAGTGTAGCATTGTAATTACTTATAAGGTCACAATTTGGTATATTGCTTCTACAAAGAGGAACTATAGGTGTTTTGGGAAGAACATAACTTCATGAGGGGGTCTGCTAGTATCCCTGCCCCTGACCACTAAAGCTCAGAAAACACTCCCTACTCACATCACAGCTACCACAGTATGCACACACGTACACACAGGCTCATCCTTGAAGGTAGGGCCCACGTCTTGCTTTCAATATATCAATAGAACACCTGGTGGATACTCTACTCAGCAGCTACCACCTGGCATAATTAACCCTTATTTCTTTGTGGGGAGCCGCCTGCCATCCCTGCAGACGCCATTACAAGATGGCGCTCACATCCGGTTCATGCTGAGCAGTAAATAAGTCAGTACGCATGCCCGAAGTAATTTTCCACCTTCTAGTCTCTGCCTACCTCGTGGCGTGATATGGGCTGATGAGTTTGCGACCAATCAAGAGTTGCCACGTCCAAGACGGGCTTACTAACCTATATAAGGGCTGGGTTTCCGACATTCGGGGTCTTCGCCCTGTAAGCTTATGCTCTCCCTCTCAAGATGCATTAAAGCTTTTCTGCAGAAGGATCCTGAGTGTGCCGCGTCGTTCTTGCTGGCGAGACGATAGCGCAGGACAACTGGTGCCGAAACCCGGGAATTCGACCAAACCATCGTCAGCACCATCGGAGACCTCTTGAGTTCAAGGAGGATTCAGAACTGCAGGTAAGGACGTTCAGAGAGGTATGTTTTTTCTGGACTTTGGCTTGAACCTGTTTCCGCTTTGGAAAGGTAGCTTTGAGGCCTTGGTTATCATTCTGGGATCACTTATAGTTTTGTTGTATAAAACATGCCAGGCCGTTGTGGCGGAAAGTCGAAATGTTCTTGAGGAAGTCCAGGATAGCATGTCAGAAACTGAACGCAGTGAGAGGTTAGGTGCACGAAAAAAGAAACGGGCCCCAAATAAGGAAAATGGCCCTCCCGGAAGGTCTGTTGACAAGGGAGCGTATTTTAAAGAGCCTAGAGATTCTTTGCCTGTCGAGAGGCCGGACAAAGGAACTAGTATATACCCCGTCCGAGAACTAAAGGCTCTGCAATTAAGTAGTTCAGGAAGCCCCGGGAGCTCTGAGGACGAGAGCCTTGACCCGGAGGAGGAGGCGGAGCTAGATGAGGAAGTAGCGAAGTATGAGGAAGAAAGATATCATCCAGATGATCATGTACAAGGCAACAAGAGACACCAAAAACATTCACATTCTGTGATGGCCGCTTC